ACGAGGAGGCGCAGCCACTGCCCCCAGTCTGCGTGTCCCCCATGAGGGGCATGTGGCGGAACGAGAAGGTGGCGCTGTATTGCGACGAGGTGCTGGAGGGCTGTAAGGTGAGAATGACCAGAAAACGGACCGGAATCCAGCGCAGGACCCTCCTTGTAGGGGGGGTCAGCCGAGAATTCGGGACTAGCTCTCAAGGTGACAGGGGTACAGGAGGCACAAAGGAAACGTGCATTTCAGAAAATCAAATTTCCTCAACACTTATAGGGCTGCCACCTAAGGTCTGCTCAGGCCCTGTCCTAAAGGAGTTACAGTTCGATTTCCGTCAAACAGAAAACTTGCCAGTTTAAGGGGACAGCTCTGATAGTGGTTTTTTTCTGGTTTTCCAAGAGCTCCTAAAAGGTGAAGGCCTTATTCCAATGCCCAGGTACACATCTTAGCTTCTTCATTTAATAATCCCTGCCCAAAGGAGGATAAGATATCTTAGCCTTGACTGTTACACTGAAATACTAAAAATGTTTTCTCCCTAGGAATGGTTCCCAGACACCAGTAGAGGGTGTGGAATGATGTTGTGTATAGAAGACACTCTTTTTTTTTTAAGTTATAGCAGAAGAATTTATGGACCAGGATATCCATTGCAGTGATAGTTATAAAAGTCAAAAATTAGAAACTAAATTTCCAACCACAGGGGCGGTAAAGAATTTGTGGTGGCTTCATATAATGGGAAACCATGCATGCAGCTGTAATAATTATGTTTTCAAGAACTATAGATATGCTTACGCTATCATGAAACTAAGTAAAAAAATCAGGAGATAAAACATATGATTCATGTATGTGAAGAATGTATGCATAGAAAAAAAAATGGAAGGAAATATACCAAAAATCAACAATGGTTATATTCTGGCTGCCAGGATGAGGGGTGATTTTGTTTTCCTTATATTTTCTGTATTTTTCAGACTTTTCTGCAGCTTAACCATATGTCATAATCAGAAAAAAACCCCACTGTTACCATA